AAAAAGAACCAAAGTTGGGACTGTTTCAACTCTACCAAGATTTGTGACATCTGCTGTGCCAAATTCCAGGTATATTAACTGTGCCAAATTCCAGGTATATTAATTATATATACTTTAGGTAGGGTTCATGTACAATAGCTTCAATTGCATATTAAAAATGTGGTTTTTTTTTTTTTTTTAACAAAGTGACAAAGATGGAATTTGAATTTCGAATTAAATATAAAGGTAACTGTACCTTCAAAGTGGTTTGAAAGTTAAGTGCATTAAAAATGTAGGTTTAACAATAAAATTATTAAATTATTAAAAATAAAATAATATAGAAATAATTTTATTAAAAATATTTTAATTAATCTATAATTGACATTGTATTTTTAATGAATAGTTTTAATCTATAAAACACTCTTTATATCCTCTTACTCAAAAAATATCAATCCTTGGAAAAAGACTACCTTATTTTTCGATGCTAGGGCAAGGACGGACTGGTGAAGCACTTTGAGGTGGTGCGGTTTCCTTTGGAGGAGTATCAACCTCTCTGCTTCGAACCTGCTCGTGATGGCTCCCCAGGGCAGGTGGTGAAGGAGATCCCAATAGGGGTGTGTACGAACCGCCGGGGCTAGCTAGAGTCTGCCAAACAAGCCCTAAAGGCCCAAGAAAAGTTGATATTGACTCCAAACTTAGCTTCAGTCTCTGTGCCCTTTTCTCTGTATTTCTAGTTTTTAGGCCTTTTTCTGGTTTACTCTTGAAGGGTCACGATGAATGGGTGGACCTTGGCACCTGGTTCTAGGGAAGTGAAGATCAGGCGGTGAGCTCCACCCTACAATTGGAGGGTACTGATTTCCTAAACCCTTCATGGTATAGGACAGATCATATATATGTACTTTTATGACTGTAACCTTTTAACATGTTAGAATGCGATTACTTCTGCAGTAGCAATCTCCAGACATGCAGAATTCCATTCTGTTTTATGCTTATTTTTTTCTTTAAAAACTTCATGTGGGTTTACACTTTAGTGTAAAAATTGTTTGTTTTTTATACCGTTTCATGCACGCTGGAAGATGAGAGCAGAACAATGGTTTTGTTATTTTTCAGACAGCTCTGAATGATCAGACACTTTTACAATAAAATGGGGAGATGAAGTTGAAGAACAAAAGTCTTCAAAAGTCTGTTTCACCAATTTAGGAATCATGCGAAGGGTGGCAATAAATTCCATATATCTGCATATATCCATTTGGAAGGTTGTGCCCTACCTCTTTTTGTTTAATTTATTATAGTCTAACCCTAATCTTTCCTTTTTTCCTATTTGATCTCAGCTACATTTTTTGGTATTCTGTTGATTTTGCCCCCTGGTCCGATTGAAAACTAGAAAGTTGAAGTACTCTGTAACCGTTGAAAACTTTCCATTTTTGCTGACTCTTAAAAAATGGCGAAAGCTTTTCAACTTTTCAAGAAGGATTTTTTTTTCTTTTTTTTTTTTTATGAAGGATTGGCTAGGCAGTAGGTGATTGACTAATTAATCTTGGAAGATTAGAAGATTAGATTAGGGTTTTTTTAAAAAGCCCTTTTAGCGGTTTACTCCTCTCTCTAAATTAAGTGTGAATTTTTTAGTAAGTTTTATGAGAATTAATATATTATTATATTTAATAATTAATATTTTACAATTTAGCCAATGTAAAATTTTTTTTGGTTAAAATATAAAAATACCGAGAAAGAATGAGGGGTGGGTGGAGGAGTAATCTTGGATTTTTAGATTTTTGTTTGAATGAAAAAACTGAGAAAGAATGGAGAGTTGCGTGTTGGTGTTGTTGGTAGAAAAATAAGAAAAGGATGGAAAGGGATGAGATGCGTGCTTGGGTGACCTATGAATTCATCAGATGAAAATCTGGAGCTGTGTAATTAAAAATGATTTTCCAGTCCTAAGTCATATCTTAGCAGAAGTACTCATATTCTTCTGCTTACTTCTTTTATGGAGTTACACATCTCTCTGGAAAATATATGCTCTTCATACTCTTCTTATTCCTTCCGCATTCTTAGAAAATGGTTATTATCATTAATTAAATTGTTAATAACAATGAATTTATAATAAAAAATTGTCATAAAATTTTAGATAAGAAATTTAAATCATAAATTTGGTAACCCTAGTTTTTTTTTTAACATGAGTAGTATAGTTTTGAATTTTTTTATTTAAATTTTTAAATTTTGAAAATCTAAAAAAATAAGTAGTTTTATAAATTAATTATATTTAAAAATGTTGGTATTTATTTTAAAATTTTATACTCTAAATTAATAATTTTAATTTTTAGTTATTGATTTTAATTGTTTAAATTTTAAAATTCAGAAATAAAAACTTAAAATTATAATTATACTAAACAAAGTTAGTAAAGTGGTTAGTATATACAAAGTTTTTTTATTTGAATAAATTATCATAAATTTATCGTATGTCATTAAGTGACATTAATAATTTAATAATTTATTATATTACTAATAAATTCACTATTAATAGATTATTGACTTCACAAGTTAAATTTAAAATAATTTATCTAAACCAAAAATTTTATAAATAAATTTATCTTTGTCTTTTTATCCCGTGATGAATTTATATTTATTTCCTAACATTAAAAAGTGAATTTAGACCTTTTATATTGGCAAAGCCTTTTCTTCTTTTCAATATAATTCTATGTTAACCCCTAACTTTTGTTTATTTCTGTACATAAGTTCCTTTTTGAAACAAGCCAATTACATGTAGTCCATTTATTTGGGGCTTTGGGGTCTTTTTTTTTTTTTTTTTTTTCGGCGTTGGGAGGGGCGGGGTGTGGGGAGGGGAAGGGTTTTAGGGACAAGGGGAAACCTAGGCCGTACTAAGGACCTACTGACGGTGACCCACACTATTGACTCTTTGCCACTCCACCCGGTGCGTGGGGATCCGAGACTAGATTTTAATCTTATAGACCCTTGAACTTCATAATCTGAGTAAATCCTTGTTCTGGGTTGCTTAACCATGAACGTTTCATTACCATTAAAAAGAAAAAAAACCATGAACATTTTAGTTAGGTCATGGGTGTGTTTGGCAGATTGCTTACAAGCAAATTGTTCTTGCATAAATTTAGAAAAAAAAATTTGAATTTAATTCTTAAAGTAAATTATAAATAAATTGTAAAAGAGACATTAAACGTGATAGTTTAATTTAATAAATAAATAAATTATAATTTAGCTTATAAATTTATAGAAATATCAATCTTCAAATTTTGAAAAGACTAACAATACATGTAAAATCAACTCTACAACCCTACATCAAAAATTCATCTTAAAATTTCAAACTTACACAAAATCTTCATGAAACCCATCCTTAGTACCCAACCCCCTTAACATCCATTAATTTGTTTTAGATAGGTTTTAATCTCTTTTGCTAAATAAAATAAAAATGGTTAAAGGGTCCCTTTTGCATTGAAAAACAAAAACTATTAAATTTGACGATAATCTCTAATATTAAAATGTATATATCATATTTAATAATTTAAAATATGTAATTTAATATAATTTAAATTATATTTATAATAAAAATAAAAAATATTATATAATTTTAATTATATAAACTTAAATATTAAATAAGAGCTTATTTTTATTAATAATTTTTATTTTATAATTTAATATAATTTGACTTTAAAATAGAAAACCTAAAAGGGAAATAAAAAATAAAGCTGGAATTCAATTAACCAGCCAAAAGTTCGAAAAAAAAGAAAAAAGGAAGAAGGCAAAAGGCTGCAGGAACCATATCCGCGGGACAAAAGTGCAAGTGTCACTCACCCAAAGATTTATGAGATAGCCA